TTGTGGGGGGGGGGGGGGGTATTAATTGAAGTTCTATGCAAATACCATGGTATGTAAATATGGTTATCAGTCAGTACCATGATTTATGCTAAAGTACTATAGTATTACCAGTACATGGTGAGGATGGATAAAAAAATAACGTAGAAATTATGTTTTGTTTATTTATTTATATATATTTTTTGGACATGGTACAGTATAATACATTATTTTGTGTTTTTATATTTTTGTTTTACTTATATTTTGTTTAAAAAGATACACGGTTAACTTAACTGTATTTTTTTTGATTTTATAATTTTTTTAGCCTTCTCCAGGTATTGTAGATTATCTTGAGCCATTTATTTAGACAATACCCTTATATCCTTTGAAACATCTTGAAATACCAATAATTGGTAAATGAGTAATTATTCAGTACCATGGTTTTTAAGTATCAAGGTGTTACCATCATATATACTGTACTGTACCATGGTACAGTCAGTACGGTGTACTTTTAGATTTCATTTTCATTATTTTTATGCAGATTTGATTATTTTCTGCAGGCATTTTAACATAATATTCCCATATTCTCTTATTCTTTTATATGGTTAAATACACATTTTCAGCCATTTAGAGCACCACTTTTTGTTTTTATATATATAAGATTTTATTCACACGCAGCATACAGTAAATGTCTTTTATTTTATGAAGGTGACCATAATTAGGGGGTCCTTGGCATTAAAAGTTATTTAATTTAATTTTTTACTTTTTATTTAATTTAATTTTTTACTTTTTATTTTATTTTATTTTTTTGAACTGCAGATAGAATAGCAGTATATACAGTATATATTTTTTAAAACACTATAGTCGTATGGTGTTGCATCAGCATTGGTGGAAGAAGAAAGTCACAGAACATATTCTCTTATTCTTTTATATGGTTAAATACACATTTTCAGCCATTTAGAGCACCACTTTTTGTTTTTCTGAACAGGCATTGCCGTTTTTTTTTTTTTTTTTTTTTTTCTTCATTTTTGCTGATATTTCTTTTTGGGGCATTGCATTTACCTATTTCTGTTTTTCTTTCTCTCTCATCCCGCTCTCTTGTAGCTCAAAGAGGCAAGTATGCAGCGTTCAGCTTCATTCTTTGCTTATTTCCACGTGCCTTCCCTCATCTGAAGAGGCATCTGTTCCAGTCCCTCTGACCCTGCTTCAGTCTTTCTTTTTTCCCCCTTTTCCTGTTCTTTTTATCACTCTTCTCCTTGATCACAGACAGATCCTCTTCCTTTCCCCAAGGCCTGTTTCTGACACCGGTTTTGAGCTGTTCGGCCTTAAATTAAACAAAAAAGGAGAAAATCACTTCAATTCCAACTCTTCAATTATCAATTCCATAGACGGTACGTCACAACTGATGTGAACAATTACTCCAAGTCGTAAAAACACTTGCAGAGGCTGAAGCTGGACTGTGAAGATCAGTTATAGGACGTCCATCTCAAACGCTTTGATCTGTACTCCTCCTGCCTTACTGGTTCACGTTCCCAGTGTGAGACAGGAAGTGGTGTTATCATCACCCAGTGAAGTGCTCAATTTTTCACACCTGAGGTGTCATAATTCACTGCAACGTTTTTTTACGACTTGACTAACATCTGAGGTTAGTTTGTACTCCCCTGAGAAAACAAGCGCTGCATGCCACCTTGCACTTTCATACACACACACACACACCATCCATTCCTCCATCAGTCTCAGAGAAGGCAACGGCACGAGCAAGTCTGCTGAAAGCAGTGTTTGCATTGGTTTTAATCTTTCTGCTTTTCTTTCAGAGAATTCTCAGCCAGCTCTAGTGATGGGATGTGAAAGGAATTTCCAGGTTGAAGGTGACCATAATTAGGGGGTCCTTGGCATTAAAAGTTATTTAATTTAATTTTTTACTTTTTATTCAATTTAATTTTTTACTTTTTATTTTATTTTATTTTTTTGAACTGCAGATAGAATAGCAGTATATACAGTATATATTTTTTAAAACACTATAGTCGTATGGTGTTGCATCAGCATTGGTGGAAGAAGAAAGTCACAGAACCAGACGTAAAGAAAATCATTTGGTTTAATTGAAAAAATGTTCACGTTCCCAGTGTGAGACAGGAAGTGGTGTTATCATCACCCAGTGAAGTGCTCAATTTTTCACATCTGAGGTGTCATAATTCACTGCAACGTTTTTTTACGACTTGACTAACATCTGAGGTTAGTTTGTACTCCCCTGAGAAAACAAGCGCTGCATGCCCCCCCTTGCACTCTCACACACACACACACACCATCCATTCCTCCATCAGTCTCAGAGAAGGCAACGGCACGAGCAAGTCTGCTGAAAGCAGTGTTTGCATTGGTTTTAATCTTTCTGCTTTTCTTTCAGAGAATTCTCAGCCAGCTCTAGTGATGGGATGTGAAAGGAATTTCCAGGTCTGATTCGACTAAATAGCTCCGGTTACTTAGTCCCATTAAGAATTCTCTTAGTCCTTTTTTTTTTAATGCACCTTAATAGGTCCAAAACATTTACTAATCCAGGGTTTTTCAAGTTCTGGTTCACAAACTAAATCATTTGGTTTAATTGAAAAAATCAGAACCAGCTCTCAATTCTACACTATAGAGTACTAGATACCACAATTTCCATGATTTCTTTTGTTGGCTGTACACATTTTTGTGTGAGAGAGATTTGACTTTCCATCGGTCTGCCAGGCCATTAGTCAGACCTTTAAAATCTGTTAATTATCTCCTAATGAATGACTTAACGGCTTTGAGAATTTGGCTCCTGGCGGCGCTTACTAAATACTTTTACAGTAAAACTGACTGAGCACACTGTAAATTAATTCGAATCCATTCGTTCCAGATGATGTTTGGTTGCTGAGGATGGAGTGAGTTCACATATCTCCCCTCCAGGCATGGTGACACCATATCGGCTCTCACACATCCTGGACTGATTAGTTAACCGCTCCGCCGTCGCTGTGTGCGTGTACGTGTGGTTGCACAACAGCGGGAGATTTCGTTGAGATTTTTGTGTGCTGTTGAGTAAAAATGCACCAAAGTTCTCACGGTTCCATTCACCCCCCTCTCCTTTCCTCTCCTCTCCTCTCATTGGCTGCTGGGTTTTAACAGACAGCTCTGTTGCCCCGCCCACACCGCAGGGTTGCCACAGGCAGTGAAACCGATGCTGCCAGCGTTTAAATATTTCCCTCTGCTCATATTGGGGGGCCTGAGGCATGCAGTCTCGATTATATCTCACTTTATCTCCCAAGAGGAAAAAGTAGGCATGCATGCATTTTTTTTTTGTATCTGTGAAAAATATTACAGTCTTTTATGTCCACTCAGACACTCACCAGTGTTATTCTTCTAAGATGTGACCTGTGCTCTGCGTTTGAGTCAAAAGCAACATTTGCCTGGTCTGTCTCTACATGAATAATGATTTCCTCTTCCTTATTTTTTTATTTGACATGCATTACATCTTAACGTAAGCCATTCCGGTGAGCCCTCGCTTACCTGACCCTGTCAGGTGGAATTTGCCGGTGGATTTCACGTGCCCAGGGGAGGCACCATCATCCTCGAGTTTTAGTCAAGACCCGTTCGTTGCTGTTCAGAATCATCTTGTGTGAGTTTGGTATGGTTTGAGATGACAAACGAGAGCGGGACAGGAAAGGAGATGGCAGTAAATTTGACTGAGCGGGTTTTGGTAGCTTGTTCACTAGGCTTGGCTTGGGTGTAGTACATTAGGCAGATGACTTATGATGACAGCTGGATTGAACGCTCTCCCAGATCCTACAATACCTCCGGCCACCAGAGGACAGCACTGCTGAGAGCATGTGCTCACACACATACAATTCTGTTGTTGTTTTTTTAAAGGGTATTATCTTTTTTTACAGCAAAATCCCTGTTTTGTGGTGCTTCTATTTATTGCCTCCAGCTATGCTGCTGGAAAACATTTCCAGTGCTCACAGAACATAAGAAAACATATAATCATGACTTTGGACAGTGTTGGGTGGCAGTGCAATGAAACTCCATCTATAAATATCTTAAGAATTAATGTATTAAAGGAATAGCTTAACCATAAAAAAAAGCATTATTTACTCTCGTCATTCCAAACCTGCATGACTTAATTTATTTTTAATGTTAAATGCAAAACCACCATAACAGTATCTTAAATGTAGTCCGAGTGCTATATTCCTAGTTCTTATGACTAACATATATGACTAGAATTGAATTAATTATTCACAGAAAATCTCTTCTATTGCACTCCTTGGCGTGTTCATGAAAGAAGCAGTGATGGCGGATTTGTGAATGAATCACTCTGTGTTAGTTTGATTCTGTTCACAAAACTGATTTGAATGATTCATTCATGAATCACACAGATCTGGTTATCGAGTTCATCTCACTGACTTCACTGCACAATTTGCAAATGAATCACTTTTTTGGCTGATCCTTTTAGCAAAACTGATTTGAATGATTCATTCACGAATCACACAGATCTGGTTCTTGAGTTCATCTCACTGACTTCACTGCACAATTTGCAAATGAATAACTTTTTTGGCTGATCCTTTTAGCAAAACTGATTTGAATGATCCATTCATGAATCACACAGATCTGGTTCTCGAGTTCATCTCACTGACTTCACTGCACAATTTGCAAATGAATAACTTTTTTGGCTGATCCTTTTAGCAAAACTGATTTGAATGATCCATTCATGAATCACACAGATCTGGTTCTCGAGTTCATCTCACTGACTTCACTGCACAATTTGCAAATGAATAACTTTTTTGGCTGATCCTTTTAGCAAAACTGATTTGAATGATCCATTCATGAATCACACAGATCTGGTTCTCGAGTTCATCTCACTGACTTCACTGCACAATTTGCAAATGGATCACTTTTTTGGCTGATCCTTTTAGCAAAACTGATTTGAATGATTCATTCACGAATCACACAGATCTAGTTCTTGAGTTCATCTCACTGACTTCACTGCACAATTTGCAAATGAATCACTTTTTTGGCTGATCCTTTTAGCAAAATTGATCTGAATGATTCATTCATGATAGAAGTATTGATGCCCAATTTGTAAAATAGTCACTCTTTTAAGTTCTTTTCAGTGAAGCATTTGATCCTGTTCACCAAAACTGGTCTGCATGACTCATTCATGAATCAGACTGATGTGGTTCTGGACTTAGCCGACCAATTTCTTTTCAACGAATCAGTTATTCTCCTGTTCACAAAACTGATCTGAATGATTTTTTCAAGACTAATCGGACTAATCTGGTTCTCGAGTTAAACTCACTAACTCAATTATACGGTCAAAACGTTTCACAGGCTGCTGGAGGGAAAGATTATCAGCACAAATCTATTGTATGTCTTCATAAGACTTGGATTATAGCACACAAGCCATATGAACCGCTTCATTTTGCATCTTTGTGAAGCTTGAAAGGAATTTTTAGTGAACAGTTTTTGGATTTGAATCTATGTAGAAGTATCTGTATGGAACAAAAGCTGATGAATCGCAGAGCAGGGAAGGATGGATAAACACAGAGAACAGACGAAGGAGACTGTACAGATCGCCGCCCGAGGCCTACGCAGTTTCCTGCGAGCACAGAGATTTCAGAGAGACCCGGGGTGAACCGCAAGCGGTCGAGGAGGCTGTGAGAACCGCTTTGAGCCAAGTCGCTAAACCTTGCCTTCCATGGAATACATAAACCTGCCACGCCATTTGATTTATCCTCCTCATTCACTCGCTCCTGTTACTCAGAGTTATAAACATTGTGTGGAAACGGAGGGAGAGGAGGAAAGAAAAATCACAGTCAGGAACGGAGAACATCCACCTTTTCAAAAACAAAACGGAGTGAAATAACTCTGGGGATGTGATGTATGACAAACCTCATCACGAAGCTATGTAGTTAATATATCTGGTGTAACGCACTCTTACGCACTCACACACTGGTCTTGTTTTCACCCGTTCTCTTATTCTGTCTCACCTGCTGTCTTGTATATCAGTCTCTTTTCCTCATCTCTTTTTGGACACTCACATTTTGTCCATCCATTTTCCTGTGCACAAATCCATTTGTGTCCCTGTGAGCTTCGCTCTTGGCCTGCTGTGTGTTCGCTCAACATATTTGTTTGCATTCTGTCTTATTCGACATGGTTATGTTTGTGTCCTTATGCTTGTTTGTTGTTCATCAGCACAAACATGTTTATTTGTGTGTGTTTGCATGCACAGATGGAGGAGCTGTTGGCCGCCATGGAAAAGGTGAAGCAAGAGTTGGAGTCCATGAAGGCCAAGCTGTC